TATAATGTAAGCATTTTTATTATTTTGGTTTTTACCGATTCTTGCGTTGACATAAAAATGCTTTGTACCATCTTTTTTTTTGTGTTAGTTTTATAAGAGTGTGTACGAAGTCTAAGTAAAGGAATAAAATGTGTTTTGTTCCTTTTGTTGTCTTACGTGACTGAGAATGTATTACCAGAATATTTATGTTATTGTTTAGGTTTTATTGTTAGTGTATAAGAGCGTGAAGTGACCACATTTTACAGTAAGTTTTCACTGCAGTCTAAAATATATTGTCGTCCTACTCATTATTTTGAGAAAAATGAGATAGCGAAATAATTTTGTTAGTGTGTGGAAACCAACGGTTAGGTTTACATTGAACAAGTAAGGCAATACAATACCACACAGTTATAGACGTTACGATTCTAGCCACCGCAATAATACAAGTATAATCTTAGTCAAAACTCCGTGTAACACTGTGTTATGCGTTTTACGTATGTTAATTCGTCGCGTTTCGTCTGTACTTGATTAGTTATTTATAAAGCAATTCTTTTACTATCTATAAAAAGTTTCGTACAACTTGCGAATAAAAAGGAAAATAAATGTATTTAATACTAGCTATTTCACGCGACTTAGTCTGCGTAGAATTTAAAAAATTAGCCTATGTTACATACTGATAACATAGCTTTTTAATGGTGCAAGAATTTTTGAAATCCGCCCAGTGGTTTTTCAGTTATTTCAATACAAAAAATAAAAAAAAAACTTTGCTCTTTAAAATATTTGTATAGATTAATGTTCGTCACGTGCAAGACCTTCAAAGATATTTAGTTGTAATACTTTCGCAAATATTTTACAATAAAATTCCATATAACGTTCAACTGCATAACTCCTGTACAAACACGAAAAAACGTACTTTATCTGAGTAGGTCGCGTCACAATCTAACGAATGATAATAAGCGCTACAGCGTAAAGAAAGTTTACGCGTTTTAGTAATTTTTTATATTGAAATGAAGAGCTAAAATACATAAATGTGCAGTAATATTTTTTGTTTCATTAATCTTTATCCTGCTCTAATTGGACATCTACAGCCTTACAAATAAGCAAAATTTGTACTAATATTTGCTTATACTCAGTTTATTCCTATGTTTAATTTTATACCGCGTTTATTTTAAAGACTGCAGGCATATTAGCTATTCACAAGAACATTAGGAATAAAGACAAGAAGAGTAAGAAATCTTTACTGAATACTACATAAAAACATCGGCAATAGCAATGATCTTGTTGGATTAAAGAAGTACAGAAAGCAAGGAGCTATATAGTCTTCACCAGACTAGCAAACTGTCAAACATATTTATACTTTCATGTTATAGCCATCATTAGTGTGTTTCAATGTTTTGTTATAAAACAAGCGTTACATTAACGGAAGTAATCAACACGCTGCTGTAAATGACAAAGATTAAATGCAGAAACACGTCAACCATAAAGATTTTTATTTTTATAGAGAAGCAAACTTAATTTTTATGGCATATTCTTTTTTTAAATCGATTTTTTTAATACAGTTTTCCGTGATTTCTCGTCATTCAAAGGATTGAATAGTTTGGAATGTAAGATTCAGAATTTTTCTAACCAGAAATCTTTGCCTTATAGAACTGTGTTTCATTTATTTACGTTATTCTCGTGACAACCCTAATAAGGTAAAATAAGATTATTGTGAAGTAGAATAGTAGATAGAGAAAGTATATAGTACCCGGGTAATAACCGGCACTAGACGTTATTAACGACATAATAAATATAATTCATAATTTAATTAACATGTCGTCGATAATCGTTAACTGCAGTTAGCAATCTTACTAATCATATCACATATGGCAAATATACTTAATTATTTAAAGTAATTTACACTTTAATTACATTAATTTAAAGTGTTAATTACATTTCAGATGGGATTTACAGTGTTTTTTACATGTCTTAGCATCAACTTTTATAAAACCTACGTTTTTAAGAAGCTTTTAATTTTTTTATTTTTACTTTTGAATCTTTGGACTCTTTCTAGTGTAAACGTGATACAAATAAATTATTGCGCTTCATATATGTCAACATATAACTGCATAATCATAGAATTAATAAAAGAAATAGTCTGTTTTAAAACGACATTGTAAGGTCACAAGCACAAGTTGGCGAGTTTACAAAACTTGTTTTTACACGAATCGATTTCGAATTAATGTTCGATATATCAGCAATAAGGACGTATTTATTGTCAATTTGTTTCAATCAACTTTATCGACATCCGACTTTGTTACTCGATTTCTATAATTCCTCCATAAATACTGGAAATAGAATACTGAAGAGCAAGGCGAGTTTTTTTTACATAAAATAAAAAGTAAAAAAAAGGTTAGGTTAGAAAAACAGTGTAAAAAAATAATTTATTAAGCAAGGTGATGGAAAGTAAACGTAAAAAAAAATCACCTTCAGAAATACAATTAAAAACAAATGACGAGTTAAAAAATTATTTATCAACATTATGTTTTAGTGCGGATTTAATTTACAGATGTTCATAAAAATGTAATCATGTGTTTCAAGTCCTGAGTACACTATACATCTACACCGTACAAACCACACACACACTATACATGGTACAAATACGAAACTTTAGATGGATGGATGTTTCTTAGAGTTTTTATCCAAGAGCAATTGGATTGTCTGGAAGAAACTATAGGCTAATACTTTTATTCCACGCGAACGAAATCCCGGGCAAAACCTAATATAAAAAGTATTACTATTTCGGTATTTTTAAGAGAATTATAAGGACGTTGAGCAGTGCAAACCCAGGTTAAAATAACTGTGATAGTCTGAAATTAAAAATAAGATTTACAGTCGTCGCCACTCAATGCTTCTTATCAGTTGTAAATAATTTAATGAAATTACATTGTCAATATAACTTACTAAGCTTTTGACGTGTTAGAAAAACCGTTAGGAAGTTGTCGCATTAATATTAAAGATTTATCTAACCCATGTCATACGGGGAAATACCGTCTTATACCAACCACCGAAAGACTAGTACAAACACATCTCAATCTTATTTGCCTTAAAGAAACTGAGATATGTAATGTTATAGCTTAGTAAGAAGGCATCTTAGTAGTTTCGACAATGGGAACTCAGTTGTACACGCTTTTAACCGGTTAAACATTATTCCTAGACAATGTTGTCACTGTCACCGTTCCTATTTACGGCTGCAATGTACGTTAAATTTGATAAAAAAAAAACAACTATATAAATAGGAAGTTATAGATAATATATTAATATAATTATAACACATAGCATAAAATTATAATTAACCTATACATACTTAGCAATATTATTTTATCTCGGGCGAAGTCGCGGGCAAAGGCCAAGTGTATCATACAAATGAGGTGGTTATAAATTTTGTTAATTCTTTAAAAATGTACTCATCTTGAAATATTTTTCCTATTATCTAACTTTCATTTCATTACGAATAGGTTAAAGAATCCACGAAACACGAGGAAAATAAAAGAATTGAATAGTTTAACCAAATGCCATACTTTCACTGCATTTATTGTGAATTTCAAGAGTTCATTGACATCGTATTTCCTTTGATATTACTTTGTGGAAACAATGTCACTTGCTAACTTATTTATGTTATAAATTTAACGTTATTTCACGCAGCTCTGCGTTTAAATCAATTTGGTATACAATGATTTAAAAAAACATTAGAACAGTGGACATTTGGCAATTATCGAAAGCAAAAACTTGTTAGATGAATAAAACAAAACATCAATAATTCTTTACTTTTTATTGTTTCATTAGTGTTTATTATTCTTACTGTGGGTTTCGACTGTAAGATACCTATATAAACACATGCATCTGTGTTCCCAAAGAGTGTAAGGAAGACAATTTGTTGACAGTTCAATTCAAATATCAAACAAGATACAGTAGTAATTATAAAAATTACATTCAATTACTACTGTCCTTTGAATGAACGCGAGAGCTTAAAGCGAAAACATTATAAAATCTACGCAGTTGTTGAAACTTTAAAAAAAACTCAGATTCGCATTGAACTCTCCAAGCGTAACTGGATTGTGCCAGATTTATTTACCTTTCAGTGACTAAGTAAGGTTTCTATTCAGATTTTCATGCAAATTGCATGTTGTAAAATTTACTTTTAAATTTTCAAAACAATTGTTGTTTTTTTTAAATTACATATTCGCTTTCTTGTGAGATTTTGTGAACTTTCTCACAGAAACGTCGAATTACATCCGTCGTTATCCTTTCATAATGTCCTTGAATTTGTATGTCAATTATTCTTTTCTTGTCATGGACTTTGCCTTTTACGGCTATCAAACAGCAATTTTCTAGTTAAGAAGGTAATAAGCTACCCTTTATCGTAGTCGTAGTCGTAGCGGAATGAATCCTTTCCATGTAATGTACTTTTAATGAGTGTTTGTTAATTAGTTGTAATTATTATTTAAATAACAGGTCATTAAACCGAATTTGTAGCCTCGTGTCTGGTTCAGTTAGATACAATTCAATTTTCTGTTTGCTTCATTAGTTTCAAAGCGTGTTTTATTTTTAATTTGAGTTTCGACTATTTAGTAAGAAACTATAAACTTTAAATAAAGTACGTAGGCTGTAGATAACATTTTTAATACTGAGTTAGATGTATAAGTATTTTTTATCGTAATTAAACATAATACGGAAACTAAAGTTACGGATTAATGTATAAGATATCAATAAATATTAAGTTCTTGACATTCCAAGGCATTTGTTACTGTTTGTATATTTTATTCATGGCTTCGGGGATCGTGAGCGTAGTCGCATTAATATTGAAATAGTAACAGTATATTAAAACGTCTTAGTATACTTTCACAGCGAAATGTATTTGAAACTCGAGAATGAGGCTTAGTATCTAGGTGTGGACCGCCGGAGACCAAAAATAGCAACGGGTGCGCATCCCGCTTGTGCAGTTTAAAAATAAATATGTGACTAGTTGTAGTGTCACTCACCCGAAATGCAGGCTCAGGGGAAAGCCTACTTAACGCCAATATCGCCAATCTGTTGAAGCGGACCTTCACCAATTCAAATTCCGAATGCTCCGTAGTGCCGGCTTATTAGCATACACGCGAATGCAACACTCCCGCGCTTTTCCAAGTTTATTGTATTAAAACGCGGTTATATTTTCAAGTAATAGTTTGTATGTTTATACACATTTGACACAGAGAAAAATAAAATAAAAATTAAGTGTTCGATTAAATTTGTGAATATAGAAACGTGTGCCACTGTCGGCGGTCGGGAGAGTACTGAGCGGCGCCGGCGACTGACCGCCATGTTTAAAGCACGCTGCATTAACTTAAGTTCTATCAACTATTTTGTTAGTTTTTCAGCGTTCAACTTGTGTTTAAACAATTTTTTACGTTCTCATTATTATTGTCACATGCCTTCAAAGAGGTTCATGTATATTTATTTTGTTAAAAGTAAAATATAAGAGTAATTATAATTCGACCTTGACCGCAACTTTGAACGGGTATAGATAACTCAGTGACTGAACAAAAAAAACTAAAGATAATGTTCAGAGTATGAATTTAGAGTACATCGCTGCAATGGTATTTTCTTCGACCACATTTTGAATAAATTACACGAGTGTTAAATACATGTAAGATGAAAAATGGTAACTTTCAAGTTATATTAAAGTCGCCACGCACCTTTTTTACGTTATATTTGTAATCGTAATAAAGAATTAAACGTTTTATTCATATATATACTAAACTATTTATGAATAGATAGACTTTACAATAGGTACAGTCAGGTGCTTAAATAACTGTACAATTACATACGCAACTTGTACCTTCGGTTACAAAAATGTGCATTCACGTATTCGTCAATATTTGTGTAGTAAGGTCGGTAGTACACAGACGTGTTAGTCTATGGACATTTTTGAATCCGAAGGTGTATAAAAGTTTGTAAAGCTTTAAAAGTTGGTATACATAGTTATGCTGACTGTACATCTATGAGATAAAATTCTGTTAACACGTGTGGTTTTTGTTGTTAACTTTGCAAAACAAACGAAATGTCTTATTTCTCAGTATTCTGCAGAGGGCATCACTTTGGTTTTCAAACTCCATGGTATATATTGTCCCACATGTTCTTACAGTTTTCCTTATAAGGTATGTTACAAAACATAGTCAATTTACAATATACGTTTTATGTATGAATATATGATTATTGTTTTTAGACCGAACTTCAAATAATTACAGTTGAGTCTAAGTGAAAGGTGGTCTAAAGATAGATGTTTTTTGTCAGTGTTTTTTTACCAATCAAATAATTAGATTAATAACTAATATGAAAGTATTAGACCGTGAATTGTCTTTAATTTGGAGGTTAGCATGTCACGAACACAAGTCCAAACGTCCAACGCAAAGATTTTTGTTTATTATTCTCCGCAAAATAAAACGGAACTCACCGAAACCGTAACATGAGAACGACATATCATACTAATATTATAATTACGAAAGTTTGGATGGATTGATGTTTGTTAGAGTTTGTAGCGTAAACGGCTGAACGGATTTCGATGTAATTTGGTACAGGCGTAGAGGATAGTCTGGAGGAACACATAGGCTACTCACTTTTGTTTTTTTTTTAATTCCACGTGGACGGAATAGCGGGCAAAAGCTAGTTTTAATTGTAAATTGCATGTTATTAAATAAATTTCAAAATATATTATTATAATTAAATACTGGCACAACAGAGGATATTTCGCAGGAGATAAAAACAAAAAATTCAAGGTTCCACTACATATTAAAAACTGAGAAAACCCAAAGGTATTAAGCGCCAAGCAAAATGGCGGGGAATTCCAAATTCTTGTATAAGAATTAATAGCCTTATTTTATACGCGGATTAGATGACGTCTGACATCAACAAAATATTAAACGCTTAAGTCGCAATATCACATTGCCCACTATTTTAAATTCAACTAATAGCATAGTAGGATGTTTTTTTTACTAACAATCTTACTAATATTATAAATGCGAAAGTTTTGATAGACAGATGGTTGGATGGATAGATGTTATTAAAGTTTGTAGCCTAAACTGCTGAACGGATTAAATTCGGAATAGAAGTAGAGGATAGTCTGGTAAAACACATAAGCTACCTATTTTGTTTTTTTATACCATACAGACGAAGACTTGGGCGAAAGCTAGTGCGATATAAAATGTTATCTTCGGCTTAAACATCGATTATAACAAACGAACTTATTTTACTTTCAAAAACAGCTTTAATTGTTAGCAAAATCCACTAATTCTGAACTTCAGAAAGGTTTATTACTCTCATAGGTTTTGTACATTAAGTCGTAATAATACATAAGTTATTTATAGTAATGTTAATAAGCAATTTAAACGCTGAGTGTGATACGTACACGTCGTTAGAACTAGAGGAAATGGCTTGTGAACAAACTTGAATATTTAAAATCATATTCAATCAAAACACAACCGGAAACAAACGCTTTCTATTATATTGCTTGTTTCCGTCTTATTTTTTATGATTGATACGTTAACATTTAACAGAATACTAAGTTTAAAGATAGGGTCGGTTGTAGCATAACCGACGCCCTTGGACTTTCACATCATTTCCATCTGGAACTCAGACCCACACGGAAAAAGGCGCCCTTTATATCCGATGCCCTGGGCGGCTGTCCCATTTACCTATCCTCTCTCTTCTTCTCTCTTTAAGTGCCTCTCCATTAATAGAGGTTGGCCGTCAGCTCAGCGAACTTTTTCCGGTCTTGTGCCAAGCGAAAAAGGTGTTCTACGCTGGCAATATTCGTCCACTCCCTGATATTTCGCAACCACGATTTCTTTCTTCTTCCAGCGCGTCTTTTTCCTGCAATTTTGCCCATCTTAATTAGTTGAAGAAGGCCGTATTCCTCATGTCGCAAAATATGGCCTAGATAGGCGATAGATTACCTATCCTAATGCCCTTAATGTGTCAAGACGTTAGCGAACGAAGCGTTACGTTAACGAATTAATTTGGTGTTGACTTACATAGTCCCTAAGAATGTGAGAAGTAACAATTTGTTTGCGTATAATTTAATGATCAGTGGAAACCAACTGTAGACGAGATATTTAATGAAATTGATAGTTTTATCAAACAAAAGCACTTTGTGATGATTCTCGATGACGTCTTTGTAATCTTATCATTGCTTCATTGTATACTGCAGCCCTGAACTCTGTGACGTCAGCCGAAGCTATGACCCGGTCTTTGACTTTGACAGGCATTTTAACATATACATTACATTTACTAAGAATCTTAGTTAAGGAAACAATATATTACTTTATCAGAGTTTTCATATCAGTTAAAAGAATAGAATTGCGTCACTTTTCACTTTCATTCAAACTCCACGGTTTTTCATTTAAAATATCTTGGTCGAGAATGTATTTTTAAAGTATATAGAATACGGCAAACCAATTTACATATAATGATTATTTCACAGTTTCTAAGTGATAAACCAAAACATCTTTATCCCATGGTAGCGTAGACACAGGTTTCCTTACAAAATTTTTACATCTCTCAATGTTTAATAATTGTTCGAATGTTCTCGAATGCCATTTTGTTTTACACTTCAACGTTGTTTTTTTTAAATGCGCATTGAAATGCGAATTAAAATTTATGTGAAAACAAAACGCGTTATCATTGTGTACAAATACAGGTTTCCTCATTTTGGACTTATTACAATGACGCTACGATTTTTTTTTAATTTCTGTCACTTCTCTTGTGTTGTATTTGTATGGAATATTTATGGAAATTAATGGAAATTATCAACATAATTAGCACGACAAAAAACGTCCGTTCTTTTTTATATTCTCAGGCATTTGGTCGTTGCTTATAAATTCAAATTCGTATCCAAATTTACTTCTTCCAATAATTATAATACAGGCGTGTAATATAAATATTTAAAGTGTTTGTTTCATTCTTCTATTCATTGAGAACTTTCTAGGTTTTGGGACATGCAAGAATTCGATCCAAATTGGCTAATGGCACCATTACTATCAAATCATTTTTCACAAGCGTATTAAAATACAAGCTTTATTGCGGCTCACAACTTAAAATATAGATGCGATCAAAATACGGATAGCGACATTCCAACTCTTACTTTAATCTGCACTGTGCCCATCAATAGGCGCAGAGATGCGGTCGCAGCTTACAACGAGCCGCCGTTAATTTTGAATCACATAATACTTATATACTTTTCCCATGTCATTGTATTCGATAATAACGTGTCCTCATAAGGAATGCGTTAAGGCCCCATAGCTCGTGACTCTTCCGATCAGTATGCTTAGACATTACTGTTTATTGTGTTTGAAAGTCATGTAATATTACGCCTTCGATGTAACACAAATGTAGGACATAAGTGACGTTTAATGTTTAGAAAGAAAAGCTCTATCGAGTAATTTGTTTATATTAAACTGTAGTTATCTAAATGTAATGGGACATTGGATTTAAATTAAGTTTAGAATTAGTGTCTTGTTAGAATTATGTGCTAATTTTTTTATTAACCATGTTAGTAATAGTTTTCTTTTTGTCATTGATAGAGAGCGAAAATTTGACAACTTATAAAATCCTGTAAAATCAATTTATTGATTTCATATTACATATTTTTATTACCATCAACATTCTAGTGATAAAATTGTATACAGTACAAAATAGGAAGAGGAAATAAAGCAATTTTATCAATAATATGTATCAGCAAATAGCTAGAGTATCGTTTACATAAGAAAAACACGAGAAACATGATTTATCTTAACACAGAATTCCGTCTAGAAACTTTAGAGATACTGACGCGATGTAATTGTGTTACTCCATTTTACATAATTGGAAAATGTAAATCACCATATTGTCAATGTCGCCGCCGCAAAACTACGTTGTAATTAAACAGACTACGTCGTGGGCAGCATTTAGGCTAACAATAGGTCTTCGTTCTACATATTTCGAGAATTTTAACAATTATTAACAAAAGTCTACGTAAAAACATTTGAAAGATGGTTCATTGTTCATGTTAGATTCATCATTGTTTTTCTCTTATGACGTCATGCAATGCTGTATTTTTGAATATTAAGGTTAGATGTTGAACCGTGACTAAATTTGGATGGCTACAAAGGCAAAGGAAGACCGGAGTATGGATGGATTGTGTGAAAGAGGATAAGCTTAAGGGAGTGGATTCAGATATGACGGCTGATAGAGATGTATGGAGCAGCACATACTGTGCTGACCCTCCCTTTTTTTTATAACATAAGGTGGCAAACGAGCAAGCGACCGCCTGAA